TATATATATATATATATATATATATATATATATATATATATATATAAAGCTGAAACAAAGAACAACCAGGAGTTATTTCTGCTGCTTTTGGATTGAACGTCTGGCCCAAGCAATCATGTTATGGAGAGGTCATTGCAAGAGTTGAGTGTTTTGACTCTGCCTCAGCAGCTCATTTCCAGTGTTAAACACCAGAATACATAAACTCCACACTAATAGATGTGGGTCTTTCTCTAATGATCAAGGTGCGGGCTGCTGCTCGCCCCTTTCTCTCTAAGTGGCCTTTGAACTCACACAGCTACATATACATCCACCTTTAAATGTGGAGGAGAGGATTACAGAGGCTTTTTTAAAAGGAAACTCACACCCAAATGTATATATTTTGTTAATAAAATGTACATAGAGGTCTTATAGTGCTTCCTTTCTGTCCATGGCATTATTTTCACAGTTTTACTGTATGTTAGTTGCAATCCTGCTTTTGTGTCTAAACCTGTCAGTATGACACACTCTGATGTGTCACTATGCGGGAGCAAATCTAGATAAAGATCGTAGTAGTTTTTATGGTTTACACTAAACCACATTAAACCTATCATATAAAACGCTAACACCACTTTAACAATCAGAAAGGGCCGCAATGCCACTGTCTGATCCAGAGCAAAATCAGAATAACTTTATGAATCCCTTGGGGGATATTCTTGGATTAGCATATAGCTACTTTTATTTTCATGAAAATATTGTTTGCTCTTCCGCTTAGCATTGAAATAGGCTCCAAACCAAAGCATCAACAAATGCTATTAAAATAGGGAAGGAAGAGAAAAAAGCACCTCAGCTGAAGCTAGAGGTTATTAAAGACTGTAACTGTATATGTTGTCATTTACTTAGCTTAAACAAAAATGCTTTTTAAAAGACATTTATTTATTCTTCTTTCTGGTTCATTAATAATTTCAAATGGTTTTATTAAGTCTAAGGAGGCGGATGATTTAAGTGTGGAGTAAAAACCTAACCGTTCAACTTTTCCTGTCATTAGATTGCATCTGATGTTAAACTGATTTCAAACAAATGGTAGGTAAACACTGACATGGATAAAACACTCACTCCTTAGAGATGTACCCCATGAAATGTGCGAAATGTTACCCCAGCATGGCTCTATAGTAGTTAGGAGTCTTTAGGATATAGTAACCTTGATAAAAAATACAGCAGTTTCACTGTTGCATATCATTTTCACACTTTGATTTAAACCTAGAAACTATGAATATTCCTGCTAATATATACAGTTAGAAAACATATAGGTCAGAGTAAACATATTCTTATTTTGTAACATTCCTTAAGTGTTCATCTTTTGGATAAATGGATTTTTTATTTTTTTTGCTCTTTAAAAAGGAATTAAACCTTTGAATACAAAGAACGCACCATTATATGCCCATATTATATGGGAATTCTACCCAAAGAATCCTAAACCAAAGGAAGAGAGAAGGAGGTTTTAGAAACTTTAATTATTAAAAGGCCCCTCGCATAACGTTATGTCAGTACCCAGTCCATGTGTACTCTCAAGAGATTTATTTTTAGCAGATCAAAACTTTTGAAGGATGTTTGCCTTGTGACCCAGCCTCTGTTCACTCACCACATGGCTGTTAAACTGTTAAAAGTGTTTCTGTTCTTCAGGGTTCTCAAAATGCAAGGTCAAGCCCACTGAGAGCTTCTGAAAACGTTTCATTTCCTAAATCATAGACTTAGGTGGTAGAGTTTCCGCCGCAGTTCTGCACAGCTGGACATGTGACGGTTTAAGGAAATATAGTAAATAAAGGCTTTTTTGTCAGGAAGTAAAACCGTAAATTTCAAAAAAAAAACAAAATGTTCTTTGGCCACTTTTACTCAAACAGGTCAACAGCTTGAGTCCCACCCCAACCACAATCCACTAATTTTATTGACACATCCCTTTAAAATATACATTTGTCCTCCCCTTTTCTATGGTGGTCTTCTTTGGTTGATCCTTGTTTGACCCCGGCTTAAATTGTACGGTACGGTTAAATCGAGAACAGCCGGGAGTTGTTGTGGTATCGGATTTATTTAGCAGAGGTGTGGCTGTAGGTTTTTCTCTGTGTTCCTCCACATAACCCCACACCACTGAGCACTGGTCAGTTTGAGCCACGCCCAAACCAGACCACACAGAAACACATTTATCATGACCTTTGCCCTGGTAATAACCCTAATTTAACAACAAAGACATATAGCAGACATTGATTTATTTAGCCTGCAAAAAAAAAAAGCAAAAACATTTTAAACTGTTTCTTGCTTACAAACAAAAAAACTGCAAGCTTGATCAGAAAATGTATTCCTTAATTCATCCCAACAGGCAGCCCTTGATGCTACCTGATGGGAGGAATAACAGTTTGATTCATTTACTCCATGCCCAAGCCTCAGCCATTAACAATCAACATGCAAAGAACTGCAAACACTTCATAAAGTTGGATGAAGCAGCTTAATGTGGCTAAACTAATACGACCTCTTGACTGGCACCTCAAGAGAACGGCTCCTTCTGTGGAAGAAGCGGAAAAAAACATCTGCAGGTACTTGGAACAAAGGTGGTCAGTGTGGACTCTGTGTTTTAGCAGATTTTACCCACGCCTGACCTTCACATGGATGTTTACAGTTTATACACTCCACTTCTTGTATTTCACTGATCCCCAGAGCGTGATATGTAAATATGATGAAGCATGCAGGTAGGTGCAATAATTAACACCTGAAGAAAAAGCTGGCGGTTTTCAGTGCTAAAAGGCTACTAAAGGAGTATTTTAAAGAATAAAAGAAACTAAATTTGAGAAAATAGCTTTTTACTAAATAAATTGTCCTTTAAAACTATTCTATGTAGCATCTGCTTTAGCATCTATTTAACTTGTAAAAAAATGACTACAAGTGAAACTTTATACGTACTTTTTGAAGAGAATTTGAAACACACAAAGTGGGTTTTTGCTGAAATCCATGTTTTTTTGTTATTTGTATTTTCAAGGTCATTCACACCAGAAATCTAACATGACCGCCATCAGACTTCAGTTTTAACAGCTCCCAACCCAGAAGCAACAACCTTACACAGATGGAGAATGTAGATGTCACACAGCAAAACAAAGTAATATTTGATGCGACTGTTAATAAGAAATGTTTAATAAAGACATTCTTGAGGGCCCTTACATTTTCTATGGCTTTCCTACCTTTTCTCGCTGGATCTCTCTGGTATTGTGTTTGCTGTGCGTGTAGCTCCTGGGTCGGGGCCCGGAGGTCACTGCCACTCCCCGTCTCCTGTGGAAAACAAATCACAATTCACAGTTCCTTATTACACATGTGAAAGCCCTATTCTTGTTCAAAAACTTTTTTTTTTTTTTTGATGAGTCACCTTCACACAATTAATGCTCATAACTTTCTGAAGCAGTGGCCTTCGGATGGCAAATAGCTTTATGCTTAAGAGGATTCCCTGAGGAGAGGCTGCAGTGTTTTAGCATATGGTGAAGTAATGCATTTGGAGGAGAAAAGATACAGACAGGACTGTCTGACCTCTGTGACCTAAAGCCCCTGCTCAGGAAAAATCAGCTGCACAAATACAAGAAACATGTGTGCATAAACTCCAAAATCCAAAGAAATGCTTTACATCGCAGCTGCACATATTAACACACTGAAATGTTTTTAAGATTTATAGAACGTTTGAGCAAAAAGCTACTGTGTTAATTATGTCAATGGACCTCATGTCAGCAACAAAGATTTGGGTGCATGCATGTACCTCCAGATACCTTAAAATTTATATGAATATGTACTGAAGTGGAAGACAAAAAAAATATTTTTTTCAAGGTGTATTGCATTTGTTTTCAACACCTATTTTCACTGAAGCTGCAGTCGGAAGTTTTCTGGGGAATGTCAAAGCCAAATCTATATATGAGCAGTTTTTTCCCATCTATCAAATTCAGTCAGACTGGATGGTAAGGATGAACGAGTCTGTGTTTACAGGTTTGGCCTAATGTTCTAAATAGGATTTAAGTCTGAGCTTTGACTAGGCCATTCTGATACCTTCATATTTTTAATCTAAACTTTTTGTAGCTCAGGGGGTGTTTTTAAATTCCAGCCCTAACCTAAAGTCTTTTAAAACATCTGAGAGCTTTTCACTACAATTTGTCCTGCATTTAACTCCATCCATCAATCTTCTGAATAACTGAGCAGCTTTTCTGTCGTGAAAAGTCGGGCACCACTCTGGAGAATTCAGAACTGCAACGGTTAGAACAGCCGTTTTCCTACGACTTTAAGATTCTTCCACCTGAGCTTTGGATCTTTGCCGCTCATCCAGAGTTACCACATGGCCCCATGGCCGCTTCTCTAGTTAACGTTTTTCCTGGCCCTGACTGCGAGTTAAGGAAATCTTCATGCCACATTTGAACATCCAAAACTTCACCTCTGGCCTGCTGCTCTGCTTTTGATCATCACAATGTTATTTGTTAATTATGACAAGCCTCTGACCCCAGATCTGTAACGCACAGGTCAACTCTATTCACTCATTACAGGACGTCTGTGCTACAGTTTGCAGTGGATTAAATTCAGTCATCAAAGTTAAAAAGGGCCCAATACATAATTGTAAGATATATAAACTGATTTTATAGGTCAAAAGTCAGCGGTTTGTTCATACCCATGACCAACGCTCTTTACTTTGCAACAGTTTACTACAAGACCGCGGCACATATTTTATGACAGCAACAAGCACCATCTCAAGTGAGGAAGTATGCAAAACAACCGCTTCTTCTTCTTCAACTTCTACTAAAACGACAATGACTTCCCGTATCAAAGCCATCGGGCGCGCATGCAGCACTAATTGACGTCGCATCTGTAGAGCTGCACGGCAAATTGGGCCCCCGAATTGCAGCGTGGTATGCACCTCGCAGCCCATTAAAGGTAATGTAGAGATACATAAAGGCTGACCTACACTTTATCTCCCATTAGCATTTAAAAAAATGTGGATGTGTTCTTTTACAATTCCAGACCCCATTTCCTTTAAAGACAAAATGGGAACCTTCAACACTTTAATTATGTTCTGCTTTGTGTTGATCTATCCCATAAAATCTTAATAACTTTATGACAAAATAGGAAAAAGCTCAAGGGATTCAGACGCTTTTGTAAGTTACTTCAGTAATGTTACTTTTTTTTTCCTGGTTAAAAGCAACCAGAAGAGTTTAAGCTCCACTCTTAAACTCAAATCCTCGAGGGCCGTTGTCCTGCAACTACAACAGCTGAATCAAAGGGCTAAACTACCTCACTGGCTCTGCAGAGTTCTGCTAATGAGCTCATATTGGAGTCAGGTGTGCTAAAGCGGAGACATCTAAACATTGCAGGACATCAGCCCTCTAGGACTAAAGTTTAAGGCCACTTCTTTAAAGGAAAGAAGTATCCAGTAAAGATAGTCAAACCCAGAATATTCTCTTGGGAGCTCATCCACCCCCTTAACCTTTTAAAATAATAGTAAATGTCAGGGACACCACAATGGGAAGCAGTAATTCTGCTGAATGCTCCCTTAATGAGCCTCTAAAGTGTTTGATGAGTTTAGAGGACAAACAACAGCAGAAAGGAGGCACGAAAGTGAAATACTTCAAGATGAATGTTACCCACAATAAAGTATTCAATGAGAAGCTCACAGGGGGTGATGACTGTCTCTAAGCCATCAGCTCAATTAAGGAGTGGGACCCTCCCCCGAAATCCTGTCCTGCTTCACCAGCAGTCAGACAGACAGCCGTCTTTTCAAAGCTCCCAGTAAAACCACAGGGAACAGCTTTCTCAGAGACGGTGAGGCAGGGTGAAAAAAGATAGAGTGGAAATAGAAGAGAGCTGCAGACCTGCCGCTAGCCACCATGCTGTCATTAGTGGCTTCCCTCCGGCCCTGACAGCCAGGACCAGACTGGCACTTCACCAACACTGTCCCACTCAAAAAAAACCAACAAAAAAAAACAGCAATGGGTCTGTTCATGTCAATAAAAAAAAATAAAAATACAACTGGCCCTTCTGGTCAGCATAGAAAGGCGAGGGACATCAGAAGTGCACCATAAAAAAAAACAAAAACAGAGCGTAAGGAACACATCTCTAGAAGCAGCTGGCTTGGAAACTTAGATCAGCTGCAGATTCAATCTTGCAGTTTTCCATTAAACCCTTGTGAGCTTAAAAACTTTTGAGGGGTCTTCTGTGATTTCACGTGGAGAAGAAATATAGAAACCTGACAGCTCACTTTCCATTACTGCAGCTGGATGAACCGCACACTTGGCTTTGCCCCAGCAACTTTGGTACAGTAGCAATTATCTTGGTATCACTCAAGTCCTCCACTCAGAGTCTCTTTTATTTACTACAAATTGTTGCATTCCAGTCTGCGCTACCTTTGGTATTTTTTTTTTATGTTCTATTGTCTCATTTCAAAACACTTAATCCCTTAATTTCAAATGCTGGATTTGGTTTCAAAGACTAAGCTTTTGTTTATTCAGGTCTCTTCTTGCAAAATGCTTACAGACAAGAACAAGCAGAACAGTCTGAAACCAAAAGGCTGCCTCCCTGAACTTACCTAAGCAGCAAACCCTACCCGTCGGCAAAGAATAAGCATTCAATATTCAAACTCTTTTCTCCATAGCCTACAGGTTGTTAGATTTTATATTGAACTACAAGCCATAAATAGTTAATACAACACTGAGTATTCAACCTGTTGCTGGATCCCGCAGCAGTAAACCTAGATGTACAAACCTGAAATGTAAACACAGAGGCAGGCACGTCCCATTTTCCAATCAGAGAGCAACAGAGTGATTAAGGAAATCCTTTTCCAATTATGTTTTAAAGGGAGTAAAATAACCCAAAAATGGTTAAGAAAGCCACATAAGCGTTTGCCTGGACAATAGAAAAAAATGTCTGAGTCACGTTTACCTCCTTTTCCTTAGACCTACTGCCTTACTTCCAGCCTCTTCCCGTCTGTCTCAGCAGTAACCTGCTTGTAGTCAGGATGTCCGCTACTCTGCCGCTCTGCTCCCTCTGCCACATCTCACACACACACACACACACACCGTCACACAATACCAACAAGCCACTCCCTTGACTTCCCCTCCCTCCAAAGCTGTCTCCTGAGGGAAATGACCCCCCCACCTCACAGACACACACACACACACGCCTCCCCGCAGGTTAATGGGCGGCCTGGCTGACACATTAACTTCTGACACTTTGCTTTAACCTCCATCAACAAAACTTCATGTTTCCCCTGAAATTAACGTCATGCCTTATAAAAAAAAAAAGTTTAGATTCTTAAACTAAGGTTCTTTAGCCCCATAAACAGTTATTTTTTAAATCTGGGTTTCTTCCAAATAGGATGAAAAGAAACGTTGGATCTATCAATCATCCCTGAATATCTTCAACACTCATTTAAAAAGATAAGTGGTTTTAAATTAGAGATCAACAGCCACAATTATCTGGTAACCAAATAATTGTTCAAATGTCTTCAAGCGGCACCTATCCCATGTTGCGTGCGAGAGTCTTCTGTAAGGGCATATCTTGGACCCTCATCTTCTGTGAGACAATTGCACAGAGCTCAAAGAGATCGGCGGCTGTGATGTGAGTGGAGCTGGCTGGCTTGTGTTTTTGTTGGCCACGTCGCCACTCCAGTGCAGACGAGATTGCTGTGGCACAGCTGGAGGCCTTGCATGTCTTCCCCAGGCCCCAAAAAAACCCAACAACACTCATTCATTTCAACAATCAACTCAGACTCAACAAAAGAGCCCCAAACTCAGCTGTCCAACAGGAAGTGAGGTAGGAGGCTTAAACACTGGAAGCATCCTGCTAAGTTCGACATCCTGCAATCTGAGAAGGGGATTCAAAGACATGCACGGCCCGCAGTAAACAATGACTCACTAGAGAAAAGCATTTCAGGGCATCACAGAGATTATAACATGCAAACTTAAACCGACAAAACTCTGATAAGGGCTAATTTTCACCTAAGGCTCTCAGAGCTTCAGCAACCAAAGCTCAGTGGACTGGATCTGTGCGACAAAAGGGAATAATTCAGGTAAAAATGTATTCTTCTCCAAGTATTTAAGGAATGATAGCACTTTTTCCTTTTTTTGTTTTGCTTTGCTGTTAAGAAACTAAACTATCCACGATAGGGCTCTCCTGCTGTGGAGGTCCATACAATGGGTAGAATATAATCATGACACTTGACCCCAGCCGTCATATACCTGCCTCAAACATTCTTACAACCTTTTATTATGGAAGCTTTATAATTTTCTGGCAGCAACTTCTTCATGAAGACCCCTTTCTAGCCAGACCTCTCCAGGCAGTAGATGGGTTTATCCGGGTCCTATTGATTTTCGGCATCTGACTTCATAGGGAAATAAGCGTGATGTGTTTTTCATCTGCCGGGCCACTTGCCACCCATTGTGTCTGTGATCTTCAGAGGCAATATGTTTCTTATTGCTTTGCTGGGTCTATGACCCGGGATATGAAAGGGTCTTCCCCAGCCTGACCTCGGTAGCAGAGATAGGCTGTTCCTCACCTAGTTAGAAGCCTCCGACACAGCCTTTTCAGTTGCCATTAAATACTCTGTTTCAATGAGCTTTAGTTTCCTATAACTGAATGTAAACCAACAATCCTAAATAATCTCTTAACTTTTTGCAAGCCGGCTGCTTTGACGACAATGGTTGCACCAAATACTGATTAAGTCAAGGACATTTTAAGTCAATAAAAATAAGCAGTCATTTATGTTTTTGACAGCATTCTAATGTTACTGTATTTTCTATATATCTATAAAACCTTTGCAGAGCACTGGAGATCCCTCAGGTCTCTGATGACTTGGTTTCCAGAACCAGCGTTGAGCAAAAGGAAGCAGCATGTAGTCTATTCTCATAAGCTACGGGAAAACGATTCCTGTTGTCTGCAACCAATCCTATAAAGGTCAAACATTTTTCTATTGGTTCATTTTCAGAGGATTCATTGTTTAAAATTCATTTTAAACAATGAAAATCTAAATGCATTTAAGACTCTGCCTGTCAAACAAATATTTATGGCCTGGAGTAAACATACTATTTAGGGTAAATAGTATCCTTCTACTAAACCTCTGCCAGATCTTCCAATGAGGATTTAAAACAACAAACAAAAAAAAACAAAAACACATTCCTGAGTCGGTGGCGGCTGAGCCAATGTGTTTTCTGGGTGTTTGCGCACACGCCTGCTGTGGCTGGAGCCATAACTCAAGTGACAATGCTCCTTGGTTTTGTTGTTTGCTTCATTCTTCATCGTTCCCACAGAAGAAAAAGGAAAAACCCTCAGTGGTCACGGTTGTCATGCAAAATAAACTCGTCTTGCTTGAGTCAGTGGAGTCTGATATTATATCCTGAACATCTTACACAACAGATTTGCCTCTTATCCTCAGACTGCACCACCATATATGTCTTTCACAATTAGGCCCTGATTGCTTCATTAGCAGTTGTGTACTCACCGCAGCTCCCATGATGCACTGGGACTCCGTGCTGTCCAGGCGGCAGACAGAAACTTTACTCTTTTCCACAGAAACTAAAAAACACACAACAGTAAAACTCAGACAGCATTTCAAATGAAACAGACAGAAAAGGATGTAATCTGACGTCGATACTGGTGAGATCATTCCAGCAGCACTGACATGACCTGACAAGGTGGAGCTGATTTGTTTTCCTTTATTTTCAAAGTCTGTCCAAGGATTAAGACAGAGCAAAGTCAGGCAGCATGAAGCAAAGAGGAGTTTATTATCAAACTAGGATTCATACAACAGGTGGATCTGTGGCAGAGACATAATGACCGGTGGACACGCTTGCACATGTTCTTGTTAAACACAATAGTAACTTTTCCTGGATGAGCTTCATCTAGCCGAGGTGGATGAACAATTTAACCTTTAGTTTAACGCCCTCTTCAGGTCAAACTGTGTCATTCCTTGACCTGTTTTAGAATCCTTGTTAGCAAAATATTCTACCATCTATATTTTCCTTATGATCCAACATTTGAACTCTTAACATCATAATTAATATACATTTTTTATCATTTAAAAAGAAAATCTAGATTTTTTAAGTTTAAAAATTTCCAAAGTTCCCAGACCTTGCTCAGCATTTTGTATTAACTGCAAAGCATTGAAAGGATGATCTGATGGAGGAACTTACAGACAGATGGTTCTATTTCATCCCTACTGACCACCAGAGGGCGGTGCTGAAAGCACCGAATGTTCCCTTTGGGCATGCGCAGTTCGAGTAATTATACCAACAGAGTCACACCTGTGACACCGGATGACCACTCAGAAGCTATATAGCCTGGTGTCATCCTTTGCTCTGCTCCTACAGAATCTTCTCGCAAAAGCAAGGATTCTGAGTGACAGAGAAGCTCTGGCGGTCATCCGGGATTCATAGAACCGTAGTTACATACGTAACTTTCGATATATGGATAGAGAAAAGATAGACAGTCCATTTAAAAAATTAATTGGAGTAATTGATAGACAGAAGGACAGATGGATTAGTACTTAAGTTGATGGACAGATGGATGTATGGACTCACAAGAAAAATCCTTAAAATATGATAAAAGTTAAAAAAAAGAAAGAAAAAAAATAGACAGAAAAAAGCAATACACTTTCCATGCTGCAATTTTCCCTATATTTTCCAAACCTGGAAATGGCCCAAATTCCAGACCTTCCCATAATGAGCAGGGATCCTGTGCATTGGTACGTTCCAACCGAAGGCATGCTACAAAATAAACTTCATTACACAAACTCTTTGGGGGGTTCCTCAGTCTGACACATCCAAGCTCACCTTGCAGCTGCTCATCCCTGATTCGTCGGATCGCTGCTCTGATCATCTTCCTCTCCTCATACTCGGCTGCAGCACGAAGCTACGGACAAAGAAACTCAGTGTTTCCAGGACAACCAAGTACAGGGATCACATTGAAAGAAAAACAATTCTGAAATTCACCATTTTCGTCAGCTCATCAACATCCTGGATGGACTGTAGCTTTTGTGAAAGAATGTTCAAGTTGTCACTGGATTCTGATCTGGGGAAAATTGACATAAAGATGTTATCTCTAAACATTAAAATAACATAATTTTTTTTACAGCCTTGAGAAATGAACTCAGAAATTAAAAGCATGGAAAAGGTGGTGCTCTAAATAAAAATAATCAGAGCACAGACCCAGACTGTGCAGAGAAGTCTGCTGGCCTCAGACTTCTCCCGTCTGTCTTACTTGCACTCTCCTTCCCTTCCCTCATTATCCTCATTTTCCCCAACATTCCCTGTGATTAAATAATGCGCAGCATGGTAAAGTTGAAATATTTAACATTCCAGAAATGAGAGGTGTGAGAGAATAACTTTCAGCTGGATTTTCTTAGGTGCATACGTGCATGAATGTAAGACAGCAGGTTTGATTTCCACAGCAGCTTCAGCCGTGGCACTTCTTTTGTTTTTGTAACCCGAGTCCTGCGAGCGCAGACGTGAATGGGAATGATTACCTCTGTTCTTAAAAGGATTTAGTGACAGAAAAGGGGAAAACAAACAGTAAAGTGGTAGGTTTATTTCTGACTGCAATGGTGTTAAAGCATTTATTTTCTCCAGCCCACAGGCTGAGACATAAGATGGACTTGATCTTAGTTTAACCCTTGGGATTTAAAGACTTCACACACACACAAAAACTTTAATTTTTACATTTTAAACCATCCAAACTAGACAATATCAAAGTGTAGGTTATCACAAAGAACTCCGAGGAGGCTGCAGTATTTCAGGCTGTGTTTGTATCGGACCCCATAGGATGGACCTTTACATCTCCTATTGCTTGAAGTAAGCATACAGAAATATTCAGTCTTTCATTCTGCTCAATTTAACCAAAAAACAAACAGATCTGTTTTAGGATGTTAATAAACTGGTTTAAACAACAATTTTTTTGATACTTTAGACAAAGTTAGGATCTTTTACAGAATGCTGTAAGTTTACACCAGCTATCAATTATTTTGAGTTTTACCAACCTGGAACAAAGTTCAGCAGGTCTAGTTAGATTTTCAGCTTTCCCTTTATATACATCCAGGGATCAAGACATAGTTTAGCAGAGAAGTTGCAAAGATCTGACTGAGCAAAGGTAAAACTCCAGAGAAGCACAGAAAAGAAGTTCTAGAGCATCAAATGGGTCAGTGATAGAGTGAGTGGTAACTGGGAAAAATGAGGAATAACACTGACCATGCAACACTTCCATTAATATTCTTCAAAGTTAATGGAAAGACCAGAATGAAAGTGGTCATGGAGACAGCAAAGACTGAAGGAGCAGCATTGTTTGGAATGAAGAGACAAAAGCATTTTCTACCAAAGAAAACCTCCAAGCATAGATTAACATTTTCATTTAATAAATAAAAAAAGAACATCATGACAACAGTAAAGCACGGTGGTGGAGAAGTCATGCATCAACTGAAGTAATTGTAAAGATTGCTAAAATTGTGAGATTAAACCTTCAGATGTCTGCTGGAAATCTGAATAGTGGTTCTGTGTTCCAGCATCACAATAAGTCCTAGAAGACGACTTCAAGAGAGGAATATTTAAGATCTGGAATGGCGAAACAAAATTCAGCACTTAATTTAACCAAAGAAGAGTGACTAAAACCGTTAAGGTACTGTTTGTTTGGGGTTTTTTTGCGTACATTTTTTGTTTGCGTTTACTTCTTACAAATGTAGATCAGTTTAAATTGCGCAGAATAAAATATCACATTTTGTGATGGAACAATTCATCTTTGTCCATTAACTTTTTTTATACTGCAAAAAAAAACACTGTACATTAAATAATCAAGAAGATTATTGGGGTAACTGACCGTAGAAAACATATTGAGAAAAAAATAAAAACAAACAACTGATGAAAATATGCACTATTTACAACTGACTTCATTATTTATTCTTGCAGCTCACTTCGTTTTTGTTTTTTTTTTTAGAATATTAAATATAGTCCTGCTAACCAATGTAAACAAAGGGACAGCGTTTCACATGGAAGAAGAGATTTTCACAATATCTAAAAAAAAAAATTAAAAAAAACGTGGTCAGTGGTGAAAGCTTAAAATCATTTTACTCTATTAGTCTGAAAAATCCACAGCAGAGGTGCAAAAACAATCCTGATGGAAAATTTCTGCCCCATTTGTCCTGTTTGGTGTCAGATTTTCCAAGCAGAAACACGTCAATGGAAGAAGAAAGGGGTAGAGCAGTGCTAGAGCAAAAATATCGGTTAATCTGCATTCCTCTGCTGCATAACGACTGTTGGGATCTTTTTTCAGCTGGAGAAATACTGAGATAGTTGTAAAAAAGAAAATCATTTGAACTGTTAAATAGGGAAACTAATATGAAGAAGACAAACTACTGGGAGCTTACTGGAAACTAAAAAAAATTTACTGCATCTGGAGTTCTCCGTCCCCTGGTACTTTTTCCCCCTGTGGCTGAGGAATGCCACATCTGGATTTGTGATCTTCACTTTCACCTGGGTGAAATGGCCTTTGTCTCTGGGATCATTGGGTGTGTGCGCCTCCTTACCTGTGCTGGTTCTCCTTGTCCTCATGCTGATTCAGGCGCGTCGGTCTGAATCTTTTGCTCGCCAAAGCGGCCTCCATGTCCTCAATCTCTCTCCTCCTTAGGTCCCGAATGGCTGAACGGATGAGGCGCCTCTCGTCCAGATCCACGGTTCCATCCAGCTGTAACGAGAAGATCTGGATATCAACTGATAGAAAAGCAACAGAGTACTAACTCAGATGGGGAAAATTTGCCTTGCAAAGACAGACGACTTTTCTCTTTTACTGTATATTTGCATGGTTTACCGAAGAGTCTTTGTCAGACATATAGAAGCATACATTATTAGCTCAGAACTGTTTCGCAGCTTACAGAGACAAATGGCTGTACATTCTGTGAGATATTATGTTACAGACCAGGGCTGGAGAAATGAATCAGAATAATCGTGATTAATCCATCATTGAAATAATCGTCAACTCATTTCTTAATCGGTTAACTGTTAACTGGAGTTTAGAGACTGTAAAACAACAGCAGCAATTATACCAATATTGTAAAAAAAATATATATATTTACATTTTGCATTTAAGATAAAAAAAAAATGTTCATCTGTCAATATGCTCTACAAAGAGCTCCTCAAATGGAAAAGTTTTAGTTTCCCTTGGTTTAATTTCGTAAAAAATCTTCTCTAAGGAACCTTTGGCTATCCGATAATTAATCGATTAATTGAAAAAAATAATTGACTGATTAATCGTTTTGTAAAGGAATCATTAGTTGCAGCCCTATTACAGACCAACACTAATTACCATGTATTTAAAAAGGTTCAGTCAGTTAGGCGTTTTTCTTTTTAAGATGTGTATTCATAACTAGCTCACTGTGTATACCACTACTTTCAAACACTTCAGTGTTATACCCGTGTTATTTACAGTGACCAGGTCTGCCAGTTAGTTTTACAAGCATTTTTTCCAGCTTATATTTACCTGCACTTTCAATTCAGGCAAACTCCCAGAGGATATGAATGAAATAAAACAAACATTTTAAAGCAATTCTTGTAATTTTTAATTTGTTCTCATTAAACCAAAATTAAATAAATAAATCCCTTATTTGAATTTGGTTTCCAAAAAGCCGGATATTTTATTTCTAAGTTATATCATCGAGCAGTACCTCCCCCTAATTATCCTGCCCTGTTTTAAGCTCAGTCTAAGTTCATCTTTCCAACCAGCCTTCTCTGGCTCTGCAGAAGAAAAGCAAACCCAGAGTATCATGAGTTTATCATGTTTCACCGTGGGGATGCTGCACTCAGAGCAATATGCACCATTAGTTTTCCTTTTTTTTTTTTTTTGGCATGCAGGACTGAGCACTTTGAAAACCTGATTGCAAACTCCAAATCTGGCTTATTAAACTTTTTTGAACATCCTCTTATCAATGTTTTATAATGTCCAGGTTTGGAGATCACATAAGTTTCCATCCAACAGAACCAAGCAACTGCGTTGCTCCTCCATAGGAACCATGGACCATAACTTTTTCTGTTCTCTTCCTTGCCTGTAGACAGTAAAGTCTTGGTATGCTTTGTGGTTTTTCTATATATCTTTTTTCTATTCAGACGATTTAACAGTTTAATGCTTGGGAGACATTTCTGAAGCTTAAACCTGCTTCAAACTCCTCCACACCTTTTCCTCCTGACCTGTCCGAAGCGTTCGCTTTTCTACATGATGCAGTTTGTTCACTAAAGCTCTCCAGCAAACCTCCTCGGCTTTTACAGAACAGCCGATATTAATCAGACAATAAATTACAAACACATGGGAGAAAAAAATGGCTTATTTCTAAAGGAAGCTGGTTGCACTTTTATTTTAAAAGGAGAGAAAAGGAGGCTGGATACATTTTTTCAGTTTGTAAAACATTAAGCCAACAATTTTTCTTCCACTTCACACTTAACCGCTACTTTGGCTGGTGTTTCCCTTAAAGACTGAAGCATGACAAAATGTGTCAAAGTACAAGGGGTATAAATACTTTTGCTCAGCAGTGTAAGTTACGAATGACAGTTTATAGCGTGATGCAGGTTGGAAAATGAAATACCATGCAGAGTGAACGGCAATGTGCTCGTTGAGCCTTTTCCTATAAGATTTTACAGGGAGCCTGTCTGTCATTCTAATTTCATACAAGTATAGAGCTTTTGAAGTCAGTGCTAAGAGTTTTAAACAGGAAAATTCTAGGATCAAGAACACGTGTGACATCCTGAGTGAACCTAGGCTTGTTTCTGATCTGTGACGGTTAGTTAGAGGGTCAGCGGAGCAGATGGAGGCTTTATGGACGGCTGATAAGAGATCCGACTTCACTAATGAGACGAGATAAGTTGACGTGGGGAAGGATGAGAAAAAGACCCGCCGACAGCTGTTGCTCAGCTTTAGGAAATGAATGTGTTCAGATCAGCAGGTCGACCAGTCATTCAGGTGTTTTCCTCTTTAGCCAGGCTGCAGGAGGCCCCACAGAGTCAGCTGTGCGACTCTCTAAGTACCATTTCATCACCCTGAGTGAGCTTTAGTTAAAAGGTCTGCTTTTTTCAGACCGAAGAAGGGTAATTTAGTGTATACAAGCACACCTGCAGGCAGATCCAACCCCCTGAACAAGCTTTTGTCTCATCAAGAGCAGAGATCTGGAGGGAAGAGGGAGCCCCCTCCTGTCATACAGGAGACAGTCACTGGTGGGAACCTGTTGGCACACGCAGGGCCGAGGAGCTCCTACGCAGGTTGGTCTTCTAAAACCCATGCTTAGACAATGAACCAAGTTTGGACAGAAATCTTTGTTTTCCAAGAGATACTAACAGGAGCTCACTGTGGTTGCCAAGCTCAGCTCGACATGCTTTATGTGCTGAAATGAGAGCCGGCATACCCTTCAGCCAGAGCCCAGAGACAGAGGAAGAGGGTCGTCTCATCAGAGACGAAGAAGGCCAGCAGTTTTGAGGTCTCGCTGTGGTTTGACAAAATATGCACTGGTTTAGAGAGGCCTTCCTACAATACTATAATTTGTGGAAATTTAAAGTGCTGAGTCCACAAAAAAAGATGACTGAAGTAGAAGATAGAAGAAAACTAAGAATAGCAGCCATTAGGATGACAATGTGGAAAAAAACTAAACAAAAAACGAAAAAATGGGAGGAAGCACTTGGGTATGCCTAAAAATGGGCAAATGAAAGCTGGGTGGGAAAAGTGCAGGTCATTCCTCACATTCCTGCTGACTCACAAAAAGAAGAAAAAAAATAAGGGATCTACTGTGTGTTTTTCTGGTCCCAGTCCAGAAACAAGTTGATATGTCAAACCAGTAACGGCAGCTTTTGATAAGGAAGAAGGAAAAATAATCAGCCAGAAGAAAGAAGCACGGCCAGAGTTTATTTCACATGCCCACACAGGCAGACAGTGAACGGCTAACCAAACACTAGGGAGAGCAGTCTGCTACAAAGCTGTCCAGATCGCTGCTGAGGAAACGTCATTAGGGAATTAAACGGTTTGTACAACGGCTGCCAAGTTTTAGTACAGACCAATTCACTTTTCAACACCAACAGATAAAACAGCCTCAACTTTGAGTCTCCACTCCAAAAGTCCTGATAACAGGCAGCACTTCTGGCCCGTCTTAATCGGGCCTAAACATAAATCTGAATGTGTAACAAAGCTCATATCTTATGAGTGAACTTTAATTCCCCCTGAGATTTTAATGGCACAGGAAGAACCAGCAGCATGATGAAAACTCCCTGACTTCAGCATGCTGGGCGCTTGACAGTGTCCAAGGTAGACTTCATCTTTAAACTGGTCAACAGCCGCAATGTACAGAGCCATCAGTGACGTCTACTCCTCCAGTACCTCAATCTCTTCTCATCTCGTTTAAAGTCGTATGGAAGCGGCTGTTCCAACCGTTGCATTTCCGAATTCTGCAGAGTGGTGCGCGACTTTACGAGTGAATAAAGTGAATGTGGTTGGTTGTTTATCAAGAGGGCGGCATTGTTGTGCCCGTTAGCTCTACGCTTGCCTTAGACACAGACGTCCATCCCCGTGAACACTGGGACGTAACTCAATGGTAAAGTAATGATTGTTATTTCAACCGTTGGGTATATTAGCTGCAACATATGAATCAAGATGCTATGACGGAAAAGATTTGATTGAAAGATGACCGCTGATATATGATTGGCTGAATTTAGGTGTACAAGCTGACATACAACTAACTGGCCCACATGATATACGTAACTTAAGAAAAAATACACAGATTTTAAGTAAAAAAAAATGTTTTAAATACAAATTTTCTAACTTTTGGGACAATATCGTCTTATAAAGAGAACATTTATATACATGTTTAGCCAGAATGATTTGACATTTGAATATGATGACCCTACGACTTTAAGTTTATCCTGCAGCGGGCCCGTCATCTAAACCTGTGTTTCCCAACCATTTTTGACTTGTGTACCCCACAAGCAAAAATAAATAAATAAATAATAAAAATAAATAAATAAAATAAATAATTTTTATTCTATGTAAAATAAAATTTATTTTACACAATCTTTTAACATGAACATTTAATTCTTTGGCATTTTATTCTTTCTATCTCAAATAAAAACAACAACATAAATATGCTTGATGGCAAGGAATCAGGGAAAAAAAAATAAAATTAAATAATACTATAAACCTGTATTTATAAAACAGGAGCTCCTCTATGCAACTCCCTTATAATCACATCTAAACTTGATGAATTGGGAAGAAGATATAGAAAAAAAAAATATAGTCAGACTGACTTAAAGGTATTGTGGAGAATTTTCGCAAATTTTTATAAAGACCCACCCTCTCCACTTGCACACGCACAACCCTGTACCTGCTCCTGAGAGAGAACGCCTGGTAAACGTGTGCAAGAGCATGCACAAGCCCATTTCTCCTCGTGCAAGCTCTGTTTAAAAGTTGCAGTTCTCATAGCTTGTACAAGCTTACTGTGCCCGAACGTTGGCCCTAACCCCTAAATCCCTCAATCACTATATAGAGCAGGGACTATATAGTGGACTTAATAGTAAACTCAGTTAACTGACCGTTCAGACAGATGATCACTGCTTTTTGCTCCCCGTTGGTCACGTAACTCCTCCTCCACAGAGCGGTGCCTTAGACTTGTAATTAGTCGTAGCGGGCCGCTGTGACAGAAAATCCCATAATTGTTTGCG